CCGCTGGCGTAACATTCTCGGACGAGCCATCCAGAGACCAGAGATGACAGGCCTTGTAAATTGGAATTTTAATAAAACTTGGCAAAAACACGGATTCCAACAGGGAAGGAAGACATTCTGATAGAGTCGGTTATCTCTCGACAGGAAGTCATCCCTGTTCATAAACCATCCCTTTAAATAATTCCCCAGTGACGTGGGGACAAACGCATTAGACTAATTAGTAGCAGTCGAATGTTTAGACAATCGCAGGAAATGGGGAATTTTAATTATGAACAATTCACTCCCAAATTACGTGAAGATAAATACACATTGACATTAATTCTCTCTTCCATCCTGATAAAGTGTGCCAGTCAAATTTAATTACTTGGGAGTAATTGAAAATACTAAAAAAAATACTAATCTCTAATTTAAAAATAATTCCTAAAATCACGGGCTACAGCCGAGAATAGATGAATTGAAATCGAGGGAGAAGGAATAATCCCGCGGATTGAATTGTCTCGTGAGACGAAGTCATCCCCTTAATTCGCTCCCGGGACATGACAATCCATCCTGATAAAATATGCCAAGTTTAATTACTTGGGAATAATTGAGAATACTCAAAAAAATACTAATCTCTAATTTGAAAATAATTCCTAAAATCACGAGCTACAGCCGTAAATAGATGAATTGAAATCGAGGGAGAAGGAATAATCCCGCGGAATGAATTGCCTCGTGAGACGAAGTCATCCCCTTAATTCGCTCCCGGGACATGACAATCCATCCTGATAAAATATGCCAAGTTTAATTACTTGGGAGTAATTGAAAATACTAAAAAAAATACTAATCTCTAATTTGAAAATAATTGAAGTCGAGGGAGAAGGAATAATCCCGCGGAATGAATTGTCTCGTGAGACGAAGTCATCCCCTTAATTCGCTCCCGGGACATGACAATGGACGCATATTGACACCAGCTCGCTGCATTTCAGGGATAATAAAAAATGCCAGTCTATTCCGACTAGAAGGGCAAAGTGGAAAACGGTCGGAAGGGTTTACGATCACTGGCCTCGACAAGGGGTGCTAAATTGATTTCCAGGGAAAATGGGATACGGTGGGTCGTCCGATGACATTTCGCACGAGTCAATGGAGACCAATGCCGTGACCTGTTGTAATTAATCGATCGCCGATATGATAATGAATGCATATTGGTATCGGCCTCGTTTCATAGAGTCGTGGAAACGCGCGGTGAAAACGGAGCGATAAACCCGTCTCCCGCTGCGGACTCGACATCTCCCGTCGAGCGTTTTTAGGACTGCCGAAAAAGAAAAAAAAAAAAAAATAGGAGGAAAAGGGAAAAAACGGGTCGACGCGACAATCCCAGAAAATGAAATTCCCCCGGCAATTCGTCTCTGGGAATTTATTTTCCCGGGAGCCTCGATGGATCCTTTCTGGAAACCGAGGAGGCACTTCGGGGCACTTTTCCAAATCGATGAAGAAAATCCCCATCTTGGGTCCTCCCCGTAAATTACACCCCATTAAATCTTCTCCATCATACATCCCACATTAGTCTCATTTTCATTTATAAAATTCCTATTATTTCTCAAAAATTATCCTCATCGTGAATATATTTTATCCCGCCATCTCTTCGCATATTTTAACATACATTTCACATCACTCACCCTTTTTATTTCCTATCGACTGGTTATAATTCTGTTTCCCCTCATTTTCCATATCTCTCGACAATTTCAAGTGCAATGCATGAACCAATAGATACCGTAATAAGCGTATGAAATATCGAACATGGAATTAACCGTGAAATGAGAGACCCTTAAGGGGGTGTGAAAGTGGCATTTGGGGGGTCAATTGTTCATGAAACTCTTCTCCAAACTGGGTATGCCGAATCGTTTCAAACTTGACAATGTGAATATAGAGGCTGTGAGGAAGGTCCTGCCGGTCCTAAAATTTCATTTTTTATAAAAAATTTTGAGAATGTCTATAAAGAAATTTTTGGAAAATAGAAATTTCATGGGTGTCAGGACCTTCCCTATATCCTACAAATTCGCATTGTAAATTTTGAAACGATTCGGTACATCCAATTCGGAGGAAAGTTTCATAAACGAGACAATTGATGCCACTTTCACATGGCCTTAAAAATCAGACCTAAAAGGCGGTCATGAAGGGTTGTCGAATTTTTTTCAAACTCCCTCGAGGTACTCGCAAAGTCGAAGAACGTTCATGAAACTCTTCTCCAAACTGGGTATGCCGAATCGTTTCAAACTTGACAATATGAATATAGAGGCTGTGAGGAAGGTCCTGCCGGTCATAAAATTTCATTTTTTATAAAAAATGTTGAAAATGTCTATAAAGAAATTGTTGGATAATTGAAATTTCATGGGTGTCAGGACCTTCCCTATATCCTACAAATTCGCATTGTAAATTTTGAAACGATTCGGTACATCCAATTCGGAGGAAAGTTTCATAAACGAGACAATTGATGCCACTTTCACATGGCCTTAAAAATCAGACCTAAAAGGCGGTCATGAAGGGTTGTCGAATTTTTTTCAAACTCCCTCAAGGTACTTGCAAAGTCGAAGAACGTGACGACTGACCGCGGAATTTGTGGAATGCGGAGAATCCGCGGAATCCGCAGAATTCCGCGCACGGAACATCCTAGGGACCTCGGAAAACTCGGGTTCTAGGTCTGCGGAGAATTCCCGCCGGTTTTCCGCAGGGATTCCGCGCGGAGTTAATGCGAGACAATACTTGCACCCCTAGGTCCTTGTTATTATTAATTAATCAGCGACGAGTCGATAAATATGTACATACTCGTGTCGGGCCGGTCTCGTGGAGTCGCACCTAGGCTGGTAATTAATGTACACAGCTACTCGTCGGTTTCACACTCGATATTAACCAGACCCAACTGCGCCAGATTCGCAAGGGATAAAACACACCCCCATTATTTCTTTGCTTCGATGCTTTTCTTTTTTGCAAATAATTCTAAAATAATTCTAAAATAATCGGCGATAAAATGCGTATGACAAATAAGAAAAGTAAGAACGTGAAAGAAGACGCATTGATGAGATTTAATTAATTAATTGTATTATTGCACTATTATTTTGGGAATTCTGAAAACGAGATCGTGGAAATATTGAATGTCCATCAAAATTTTAATTAATAACTCGAAATAAAATTATTCTAAAGAAAATTTCATATTGAAAGCGCAAAAATTCTTAGGGGTGGATTTTTCGGGGATGATCGGTAAGGACGAATTTCCTTACGTTATCTTCAAAAGTTCATTAATATTCCGGATACCTCGAGATCCTGGGGATGTTACATACGTATTATCTATAAATGATACCCAATATGTCCGCAAAATTGGTACCGTATCCGATAGCACATCTCTCGATAAGGGGGTGGACTCGCAAGGGATGATCAATAGGTGTTCGACGTTACCTCTCCAACTTCCTAGTTTCTCGTTACAGAACACTCACCCGAGGTTAACGCCGATTTCCTTCCGGTTCTGGAATTAACCTCTCTCTCGGATCCCATAGTGGTAATTGGACCAACATCCCCTGGACCAACTCGAGACAAATCCTCGGAGGTCGATCACCACCCCTCGTCTCGAATCCTGGAAGAGCCCTTCCCCTCCACCGTAAAAACCCGATCCAGTGATTCGGTTTCTAAGAGCAATTTTAATCCCCAGCAGTGCAACGATGTGCCTTACGTGGTCCAGCAAAGTGGCGGATGCTGGGATGATCTGAAGATCCAAAATCGAAAAGTTAAAAAAGGAATTAAGAAGAATCAGTGTCTCGAGAGCTGCTCTTCGGCATCTTCGCACCCTGAAGATGGGATTTAATCATCCCCAGGGAAGCCGGATTTAAGACCTCGATCCTTGGATTTGGAGAACAAGGGGGTGAAAAAGCACCGAAATTTCGACACTCCCCCTGGTTTTGGGGTGGACCATCATCGAGGCAGATGCAAGGGAGAGTCCTGCATCGCGATAGCTGAGGGGATGCCGGAGTTTGGTCAAATTCTGACCAAACAGGGTTGCTCCCCCCTGGGGAATTTACTGCTGACTGGGGTTTGCTCGAAACGAAAGCTCGGATCCAGTTTCAGGGAGGGTGGGATTCCTCTCTGAACTCTTGCAGAGGAAGTGCGAGTGTTTACTGGGTGTACTATCCGAAGATTCGCAGTCGGCGATATTTGCAAGCCAAACAGTGGACGGAAAGTTGATTTGCAACCCCTAAGGGAGATTCAAAGAGAGGGAGCTGCTCATCCCTCGGGAACCTGCCCTGGACTACGCTGTCCTGACAACCTAAGTCAAGATAAACAGTAATTAACTGCCGCGCTCGATTTTGATTAATAAATCTTGATCGCGTCGGATAACGCCTGTGATAAGACATCCGAGTGCTGCAAAGAGTTGGACGTTGAGTGAGGTCAGGACGTAGCTGGACTATCCTGGACTTGTTTGAGTAAAACCTCTTCGTGGAAGTGACTTACTTTTTCTTTTCTGATAACAATGATTATGATTTTCAAGAAAATCGGGGTGTCGGAGTATCACGCAAAATTGAGGGTTGAGTGAGGTCAGGACGTGGCTGGACTATCCCGACTCCTCCTAGTGCAGTGGAAGTGACTAACGAAATGACCGAATGAATTCCCTGAAAACTATTCTCGAAAATTATCAGGGATGCTGTGAGGTCCAGACGGAACTGACCTACCCTCTTCTGGGTGGAGTAATTCGGTGCAAGTGACTGACAAAGTAGCCGCATGGCTCCCCTAAAAACTCGGACCAGAAATCCAGTGACGATGGGTGCCCCTAATCGTCGCAAAAACTTGCAAGTTGACTAAGGTCAGGACCGACTTAACCTCTTCCGGCTCTGTAGAGTCGGCAGGAACGAATCGGCCGACATTTTGGGACTCCGGGCCCGATTCGGGGACGGAGCCGCAGACAGTGAGAGTGGCTGCATCAGCTGGTGATGGCATGAGGACATTAGCGAGGAAACGTGGGCCCAGCGTGGAGGAGGATGAGGATGGTGGTTGGCGTGATGGTGCTGGGTCAGCTATTGACGCGGCTCTTGCTCGCTGCACATGCAGGGGATCGGCTCGCAGCTGCACGAAGGATCCTCCGAGATGTGCCCCTTATAGATGGGTGAGTAGCCCTCCCTAGAAATCTCAGAATTCGACCCTGAGAAAAAGAGTCCCTCGAGCCAAAGAAATATCTCTTCGAACGGTCCCAAAAAAACAGTAATTCAAAAAACAATAATTTCATTCTAATAAGCCGGAACTAATCGTATGCAACGATGACAATTTATTTAAGCTCATTTGAGCGAAATGATAATCCTTTGAATTAGGAGAATATTTCTCCAATTCCGGGAATTTTTTTTATTACTCGGTGGCGACAATTCTTGGGACTTTAAAAATATTTCTGAAGAACGGGGAGTTTTTTAGCCTAATTTACGAATCGTCATTAATGAGGGGAAATGGGAAAAATTCATGGATAGGGCGAGTTTCTTACAATGGAGTACCATTAAATCGTAGAAATATAGCCGGCAGTTAAATTTGGGAGCAGGTGCTGCTTATTGAGCATGCAGGTCGTCTCGCAGGTGGAGGAAGAATCCTGCAAGACGTGCCCTCGTAAATGGACGAGTTACGTGAGCGAGAAGATGCCGTACTGCACCCCCGAGACTTGAGAATATTAATAAATGTGAGGGATGGGATCGTTACTTCGAAAAAGAAACGCCTTTCCGTGAAAAGTTAAACTCCATTCGCGAAATTAGTCCTGAGACATCGCGAAAAACTAATCATTCCTCGAGTAACGAGAATGGCCTTCGAAATAAAAATGTAATACCTCCGTATGTAAATAATTTCTGAGAAATTTGAACATTTAAAATGTCAAGCCCTCAGAAATCGCGAATTACTGCACTTAACTTTTCTACAGTAAAAAAAGGGGATTCCCGAAAAAAAAACCTGATAAATATTTATAGAAAATATTTAATTTCAATATTGCGTGCAATTCGTCTCTGGAAATAAGCAATATCACCCAATTAAATAGGCGAATGAATTTCTCGGCCGAAATCATGAATTTTTAATTTTGCAATAGCGAAATCTGATTTGGGGAGGTAAATTCGTAATTACCCCCGCCTTGCGATCCAATTACGGTTTGGATAATAATCCAAGCCAATGATAGCCCGGCAAATAATGGGAAAATAATACGGCGAAGCTGTCCATCGGGGGGCCAATTACGTGACATTGTCGCACCTGAAAATGGATACTCCATTTACGTCCGGCGAGGTAATTACCCTGTAATCGAGCCGCCTTCGGGATTCAAAATCGTATTCCGAGGGATGAAAAGTAACCCCCTCGGACAGTACCTGAAGGGTTGTTTCTTTTTACATCTAATGGAGCCTAAAACCCGAAACTCTGATAATAAAGACGTTAATGAGTGTGTACGCGATAATGGCGAAAGTACAGGCCTCCCCGCGTAATACCTGTATTTATCGTGCCGAGGGTAGTTTTTTACCGAAATTACCGGAAAATTCGAGAGGAGGCCGCGCCGAATAATCCAGGTTTCTGCGAGAAAGCACAGCCCCTGCAAAAAGGGGTTTTCACCCCTCAGAAATTGAATTTCAACCCCGCCGTGTAACTTCAACGTCCCCGTGTAAATCCGAATAATATAATTTATTCCTCCAGGGTGGACTTAGTTTATGCAATTGATTCGTTCATTTCTCCCTAATTCCCCCCTAGATCGATTGCACCTTTTCTATAAAATACATTTCCCATTTAATATACCCATCCCAAAATTATCATCAGTGGTCCAGACACCACCTTTGGCAAAAAATAAATTATCACAATATCAAAATATATCCCTTTTCCAATGAATCCTTTTTCTTGCTTTTTCCAAAGACTGAATCTCGTAAAATATAAACAATACCCTGTACCTGACCTACCCTATTCCACATTCGTAGCACTCTAGATACCATTATTCCCGAGAAATACATTTCCACGAGATAAAAAATAGCTTAGCCCTTACCTGCCCCAACATTATTCTCAACGCCCCCAGGTACCATCCAGGAATCATCCAATTTGCCGGGGCTCGAAAATGGAGCAGATAAATTTTCGCTCAGACGGGTAATATTCCCACTAATGTACTAATACATCCGATTGTCCTTTGCGCGGCAACTTCGCCATCAGTCGAGAGCAATTACTCGGTAATGCGGGGAAAATGCCGGGGGACGCGAGCCGCGTGGGTAATAACTAATGGAATTAACAATTCCCTATGATCGCGCCGGATAGCTGCGGATGGCATGAAAGTTTAATCCTCGTCTTGTCGGATCCGAGTAATGTCGCACCGTTCAAAAGCGGCTTGGAGACATCGGGAGAAAGGGAGACGACGAGAGGAATCGGGAATAAGGGAGAGAGACAAAAAACGGATCTCTCTTATCAGACCTGAAGTTTCTTTTCTAGTTATCATTCATTTTTGGGCATAGTTTGGAGGTTTCGAGGTCGAGACATCATAGGCGATAGTGTTCCTGATGCTGCTTGATATAATTAAATAATGAAAATTAACGAGAAAAGATTGCAAATTTGAAATGGCATGAATGTTTAATCCTCGTCTTGTCGGATCCGAGTAATGTCGCACCGTTCAAAAGCGACCCGGAGACATCGGGAGAAAGGGAGACGACGAGAGGAATCGGGAATAAGGGAGAGAGACAAAGAACGGATCTCTCTTATCAGACCTCAAGTTTCTTTTTTAGTTATCATTCATTTTTCGACCCAGTTTGGGGGTTTCGAGGTCGAGATATCATAGGCAATAGTGTTCCAGATGCTGCTTGATATAATTAAATAATGAAAATTAACGAGAAAAGACTGCAAATTTGAAATCGGATAACGGAGAAGAGCCGAGGGACATCATGACGGGGCGCAAGAGAAATAAAGAGAACAAGAGAAACGCGTCGGTAGGGTACAAGAGTGACAAGGAGAGAGGCAAGTACCGTAGGTAGACTCGTAATTGCCGCGATAATTCGTTCCTAAGTTGAGGAGGGATGTTAATGAAATTCGCCGCAGGAGGATAAACGAGTCGAGGCGGAAGAGGCGCGCTCTCTCTCTCTCTTTCTCTCCTTTTGTCGTGAAAATGTTGCCTTCCCAGGCCGAGTCGGCGAACAATAAACGATTTTATCTCCAGCGAAACTTGCCGCGAAACTATCGAGCTGAAAATACGGGGAATTACCGGGCTGGAAGTTCATCAGCACCCCCGGCTAGGGGTGCGCTATCTTCCCCAGAAGTGTACCTATATGATTACCCGACTTTGGGGCTGACTTTCTCGGAAGGAATTCCACATCCCAAGTTTGGCAATTTCGGAGACCCGAAATGGAAGTCCTAGACTCGGGGAAGTCATTTTCAAGTATTAAAGAAACATCCCCTGAAATCAAATGAGTCCTGTAAAACGAACCCCCAAAACGTAATAGTAAAAATATCCAAAAATAATCGGCATACAAAATTTAAGAGAATCTAGGGAATTTTATGAGAAAGAAAAAATTCACTGAACCATAGGAAAAATCCTTTTAACTCTACTGAAGAAGTATTTTATTAATTCAGAGAACAATTACTCGAATAAACTGAAATTGTCATAATTCCGAAGAAACGGTGCGTATTATTTATTCCAGATTATTTGAGTAAAATATTTCTTTCGTTCGACGAACATTTTTTTTCTCGGTGTAGCACTGGAAGATGAACATTTTTAAATGGGGAGGTTTGCAATGGAAATTATTCATTTCTGGAAATTATTGCCGGAGGACGATTATCCCAGAAATTCGCGAATTTCAGAAAGCGTCGTGTATATGCGATTTTTCGACGTATGCGGAAATATCGCCGGGACAAGAAGTAACTGTGTATTGCATAATTACGCGACCGCCTGTTTACGGAATTAATTTCCGCACGGCAATATTTAATTACCATGGTCACCGACGACGGTAAAGAGGGGCGCAAAGGAAAATTAACCGGGGGTGGAGGAAAACCGTCTTCCGGGTTCGAAGGGAAAAAATTCCGCGGTTGGCTGACACGAAAAATGCCCCAGGCAATTAATACATAAATTAAAACGGCCACTAGTACTTTTTATCCAATTATTCTGCAATTTCCGGAAGGAATATTTGACTATTAGACCGACTTTCCGACATTTCTTAAGAATATTCTTCCTTATAATATATTTTAATTTGTCGAACTAGGGAATTTGTATTAACAAATAGTGCATTTAATTTTCCGGGTGGATATTCAAAATTCAGGGTTTGCTTAAAAAACTGGACTGCTCGTAATTTTCTGGAATAGTTCACCAAGAAAGCCTTATTCGACGAAGATTGAATGAGACCCCAGGTTATTTAATTTTCATGAGGATTAAAAAGTTGAGGGAGCATTTAAATATGAAAATTATTGTCCGGAGAGAAACGAGGCCACTTGAGAGCCAGCGAAAAAAAAAAGGAAAAAAATGCCGGAAGATGCGCCGCCTTCTGGAGGAAAAACGGGGAAAAGTGGGAAGAACTTCGTTGGAGAACACGCGAAAAGGCCGGACGTTTAATAAATAAAGTGGCTGCGGTGAAGTTTTCCCGCTGATAATATTCTCCCGCGAGGCATCGCGATCGAAATCTTCCTTTGAGAATTTTCCCTCTGGGTTAATAACTCGAGGAAATGTTTAAATATCCGATAAGAAATGGGAGCACCTAGGAGAAAATTAAGTGGGGGAAAAAAAAAAAAAGCAGAAGAGCTCCGTCTTTCCTGTGAAGAAGGAAAATCAAGGAGAGCGGAAAAGGCACGGAAGGGAAAAAAAAAGCAGCGACTGTTAAATAAATTGATACGATTATCCCTGATTTTCAGAGCTCGGTGAAGTCCCCGATTAAATCCCTCAAACTCGCGGAAATTAACCTCTATTGTACTTTTAATCTGTTTTATCGCTGATTCAATGCTCCCTTTGCAAGAAGTTCCCTTTTTCTCCACTGCCAAAAAGGATTGGAAAAAAATTTGCCCCATTCGTTTCACCGCCAACGCGAGGCAGGAGGAAATTCAATGCACTCGTTCTTTTCTCCCCTTTTTCGCGGAGTAAATTTCAAATTATGAAATCGTACTTAGTAATTATTTTTGAAGTCGGATTAAGACGCGATT